ATTAAATTCATCTTTTTATGTGATATAATAATCTAACAGGAAGAATACATAGTGCTATTTTAAAAAAACATAAAATATCTTCACTTTTTCATATAATAAAAAATATTACTAAAATTTTGTTTACGTCAATAAATTCTTCATTAAATATCAATGAATTTTCATTGAATTATTTTCTTGTAGAACTAGTATGTAGATCTATTCAAATATGACCACTCTGTAGTATTATATGTATTTCTCACAGACCACCCTATATATTAACAATACTCATAGATTCAACAATATGGCACCGAGTGATTAATTTCGCGTTTGATTATTCCATTACTACATTTATATGTTGTCGATATTTACGTAGTAATATAACAAACGTACGCTACCGTAAGACAAAATGGTAGAGTTGTAGTATATTATTAATGAATTCACAGTTCACTGAGTTAGGGTAGTGGCTGGATCAAGCAGTTCTAACCTTATTCTGGAAATTTCTTTTCTGGATTTCACGACTGTTTTTATTTCTTGTAACGGTAACATTTTATATTTCGTTTTGTATGAATCTACTTTTTATTGTATTTGACGCTATCGTCAACGAACTTACAGGAAATAATGCTTTTCTTTTTTTTCTTTCTGTAATATTATTTAGTAATTTCTATACTATTATATGCATGTGACAAGAATTTGTTCAGAGCTTTGTACTTTATACAAATATTTTTCAACTGAATGGATAGATTGTAATTTTTTATAATTGTGAATGTTTTCAGGCAGTTATAAAAGAATTCACCACAATGAATGTCAATCCACGAGTATTTTTTGATGTAGAAGTAGGCGGACTTCCAATGGGTAGAATAGTGTTTGAATTATTTGCTGATGTGTGCCCTATAACATGCGAAAACTTTCGTGGTTTATGTACTGGAGAGAAAGGACTTGGGAAAACAACTAGCAAACCATTGCATTACAAAGGAATTGTTTTTCATAGAGTTGTTAAAGATTTCATGATTCAGGGTGGTGATTTTTCAGTAGGTAACGGAACAGGAGGTGAATCTATTTATGGCGGAACATTTGCAGGTAAACTTGATAAACATTGATTTGGTTAAGAGTAATATGAGAAGAAAACTTTTGGAATATAAATATTTAAAATATGTGAAACAACATTTTTCAGATGAAAATTTTATTATAAAACATAACAAGCCATTTTTGTTATCAATGGCAAATCGTGGCAGAGATACAAATGGTTCACAATTCTTTATGTGAGTATTTACAGAGAAAAACATATTTAAATTATTTAAATTTATATAAGTATACATATATATATATCTGAAGAATATAAAAAAATTAATTAGCTAATTCACACTAGTTAAAAAAATTGCAAGATGGTGTGACAAAATTAAAATATAAAATTAATACATTCTATTGTTTTACTAAAAAATTTAGTTTGCATGTTATTATTAATCAAAGTTATGCGCTTATTAAAAGTTAATAATTACAATTGCAAACAAAGAATGTTTTGTATATAGATTTTATTTTTTAATGTTTCTACTGGCTCAAAATTATGTTTCTCTGCTGGCAGATGTATTCTTTATCAACTACAAAAGGTAAAGGTAATAGGAGTTTAATACATATATTTATCCTCACATTTTAACAATCTTCTAGGCTTTAATTATATTTTGAAAAAAGCTTTAAAACAGTAAGAGGAGATAAATTAATTAAGTGATACGAAATTTGGGTGTGTGTCGATATCTATAAAACTTATCCTGTTTCAATTAATGTTGTTATGTAAGATCATTTTATATTTGATAGTCTATGTGAATCATGTTGAACGTCCGAAGAATATTAAAAAGAATAGAAATAAGAATATCTTTGGAGGAATGAATAACTTAGCCATATTTCTGTGTAGTCATGAGGGAAGGGTCTGCACACCACTACTACAACACAATGACCAATGAAAGCTGGCTCTTTCTGTTCATCTCTCATCCCCTTAATCATATTTTGTTGTTGTAGTACAACACAACCAGCGCCTCACCTCGACAAGTAAGTAAAAATCCATTTTTTATAATTACTTTATAATTCAAAAGCTGTTTGTATATTTAAAATTTCAATGTAAATATTTTCAGTGTCCATGTGGTTTTTGGAGAAGTAGTGTCTGGCCAGGAAATTGTTACACATATTGAGGGACTTCCAGTAGACCGTATGTCCCGTCCATTGCAAGATGCTAAGGTTGTGAATTGTGGAGAACTTGTATTAAAAGTCAAGAGTAAAGGTACGTTTGACTTTCATTAAAATTTTGTTAAGGAAACTAATGTAATAAAATTTAATTTACAATTATTTATAGCGAAGAAACGCGAAACAAAAGACAGTAGTTCATCGGATACAGATTCTGATTCTTATGCAGAAAAATCTAAGAAAAAAAAGAAGGCCAAGAAAAAGTATATGTTTTATAATTTACTTTAAAGCTGAATTAGTAATAACTTGAAATAACAATTTTGATTAATAATATAGTAAAAAAAGAGCAAAGTCGGAAGATGGCGAAATACACGATTCAAATGAAGATGATCTCGGAAAACCACATCCACTTGTGTCAGTAACAAAAATCGATCCAGATGAAATACCGGAAGTGCCAGCAAATAAATTTTTGTACAGAGCAGGGCCAACGAATAACGCGAATCAAAAAGAATTTAGGCAACATTATGGAAGAGATCGGGTACGATCGCATAGAAAAACTGGTCGCGTATTTAAAGGAAGAGGAATATTTGTAAGTATTTATATACAATGTATGGTACACGGTATGTATGCATTTTTCAAATATTTCGTAACATGTTAATAAAACAAAACTTATAAAATATGGTATTTTTTTGTAATTTAATAATAAAACTAAATATCCATAAACAAAATTCCAGCGCTATCATACACCTTCACGTAGTCGTTCAAGAAGCGTAACACCGCCGCACTGGAAGCAGGCTCAAAATCGTACTATCAAATTACATGAATTTCAGGTACACGATCTTAAACATTTTACAGTCATCGATTTTCTCTTCGTGTGCAATAAGGTTGTAATTACAATGCATCAAATTATGTTACAGAAATTAGAAAAGGAACGTTTAAAAAAAGAAGAGGAAACGAAAAAGCGCGAGGCAGATAGGATCAAAAAGTTCACAGAAAATCCGGACGAAGATAGTCAGATAATGGACAAATTTGATACTGATACACGAGTATCCGAAGAACTCGAGAACAAGGAGAATGATCAGTTGGAAGAAAAGAAGGATGACAATAAAAACGTGGAACAGGATCAAGATAATTTGAACACTAGTTCTGATATAAATGATTCTATGTCAAAGGACAAAGCAGATGGAAAGCATAAAAATGAGAAAGCAATAAAGCGTGATTCACATCGATCATACGGCGACAGATCTTCGCGACGTGATTCACGGGACAGGAGTAGAAGACGTGGAAGTGGTCGTTCGAGATCACGGGATCGTCGAAGATCCCGAGACAGGGATTATGATCGTAGAAATAGCCGTGATAGAAGAAATAGAAGGAATTATTATCCACGTAGGCGAGATTCTTATAGAATGAACAGACCAGGCAGAGAGAATTATAGATACTATGATAGACGTAATGATTACAAAAGGACAAACAATTCTAATTCAAATTACGATACAGACAAAAATCGAAGAAAGAGTGGTAACATGTCGGATTCTAACAATCAACCAAAATTTAAACGCCGCTCTCGTTCAACTAGTTCTAGTAGTCAACACTCCAAAGACTAATTATTTTTTCCTTTTATTATTTCCGCAACACCGAAAACTATAATTTATAAAGCAAGCTACATCTTCTGTATCGTCTGCAAATTTTTACTTTGAATTTGGTTTTTGTCCTGATGAATTTGAATTTGTGCATAGACAATGTAGTCTTATATTTGCTATGAATTGCAAAATATTAATAACAACGTCTACATGTAAATTACAATTCATAAGTACTTATGTGACAGCCTTTTATATTTTGTCATATGGATACATTATGTTACAGAATATAATTCTTTGATCGTTACACAGAATTCTTTGATACGTATAAGCTGAAGTGATTAAATGAACAGTAAATGTGTCTTCTAATTGTATAGCATTATACTGTAAATTAAAGATACTTTTACTATAAGTCACTAATGTATAAGTTATATTTGAACATTTTTTGTGAGTAGTTACGCACGTACTTCTTTGTACCTTATGAAATTTGTGACATACGTTTTATTGTACTTTTGCGATTGTATTCTTGCAAAATTACAAAATTTTACATAAAATTCGGAGTTATAACTAATTACTAGGACTGAGTATTTGAACTGTGTAAATTCGCTGGAGTAAGTTCTTGATTCGTTCTTCGGATACTTAAGTCGTTCTATTAACTGTACGTTTCCCTGTAATTTTAAAAATCCTTTTATTAGCACTTTATGTAAGAATTCAAAATTAAAAAAAAATCCATAATAACCTATGTCTATGAAATTATTTTTACGAACTGTTTAATATTCGCATTCTATAAAAAGATTTATTTCGAATTAAATTTAAAAAGATTTACTTCCAACTCTTCGTACAAGGCTACCTTCGAGTTCTGATAGTAATTATTAATTCGGTTCTTTTTTGGATTGGCAGCATTGATGATGGGAAGTTGGCTGTATGAAATACTTTATCCTGATTGGCTTCTAAAAATTGTTTACGTTAGGAATTGTAAGTTTAAAAGTTATGTGATTGACAGTGTGTCGTTGAGTGAAGAATTATTGATATATTTGTTTGTAAATTTATTACAATGGTACGATATGTTGCCCTTAAAGGCTTATACGATCTGGAAAAGACTATTGGAAGTGGAGGCTTTGCGAAAGTTAAACTTGCTACGCATGTTGCAACCGGCGAAAAAGTTGCTATTAAAATAATGGACAAAACAGCATTAGGCGTAAGTGGTTTCAAAATTTCACATAAACGTCAGCTCAATTCAGTGTAATTGAATTAATTGTCTCAATCTTCAGGATGATTTACCAAGAGTTAAATTAGAAGTTGATGCGCTGAAAACTTTATTACACCAACACATTTGTAGACTATATCAAGTAATAGAAACAGAGAGTCACTATTTTATGGTGATAGAATATTGTTCAGGAGGAGAATTATTTGACCATATAGGTAACATTTATAATCATAACTTTCTCCAGATTTTTCTAAATTAATTAAATTACTAATATTATTTTTTTAAATGCTATTTAACAAGATAAACAAATTACTAGAATGTTATAATTACATTTTTATTTACAGTGGAAAAAAATAGGTTATCTGAAACAGAATCAAGGAAATTCTTTCGTCAAATTGTCTCTGCTGTAGCATATTTACATAATTTAGGATATGCGCATCGTGACTTGAAACCAGTAAGTCAAGCTTTGTTTTATAATTGATTACATTTACGAATGACAAACAATATTATTTTGTATGTAGGAAAATGTTTTACTAGACAGGGATGAAAACTTAAAACTTATAGACTTTGGATTATGTGCAAAGCCAAAGAATGGGATAGAATCGCATTTGCAAACATCATGTGGTTCCCCAACTTATGCTGCACCAGAACTTATATTAGGAAAAAAGTATTTAGGTATTTATTACTTTCTTTGGCTTCTTTTCGTACCATTATGTTTAAAATAAATTTATCCTATTTATCCATAGGCTCAGAAGTAGACATTTGGAGTATGGGAGTACTTCTGTATGCATTACTTTGTGGTTTCCTTCCCTTTGACGATAACAGTATAGAGAGTCTATATAGAAAGATTCTTGTAAGCTTTTTTAGTTTCTTATAGAATTTTACTGAGAAAATGATTTATAATAATTTAATTTTCTAGAGTGGCAAGTATGACGAACCAAGCTGGCTTTCAAGTAGCAGTAAAAGACTGATACAAGCAATGCTACAAATAGATCCTAAAAAAAGAATTAGTATACAAGAGTTGTGCAATCATCCGTGGATTACAGCAGGATTTCTAAATCCTGTTTCATTTGTTCATAAAACTAACGTAAGCGGTTTTTAGTTTCCAGTTTTATGTACAAAAAATACTTAACGAATATCATATATATTTACAGTTCGAAAAGGATGATGACGTGTTGAGTACTATGTCTGCGATATGCGGTGAACATGCTTCAGATATATGGAAGAAACTTGTAAAAAGTGATCGAACTGATTATAAGACTGCTACATATCTTTTACTTTTGGATAGGAAACTTCGTGGACTTTCACTTCGGATATCATCTTCTGCAAAATCTCATTTTAAGCCAGAAGTAATATTTTACAATTATCTGACAAACACGTTTTTAAACATAAATTTTAAAGATAAAATATGGTCTTTCTTATCGTTTATAGGATGAAGGAGGAATAAATAATATTATAACAAAACTTGATTGTTCTCCAAGAAGCAAACCTAATAGGAAATCTCCTGTATTAGAAACAACTTATAATGTTATACCAAAAACACCGGAAACAGGTAATTTATTATTATTTTTATACGTATTGTTGATAGATGTACAATGTATAGTTTCTTTTTATTGTTTTTTTCATAGCTAATAATTTCATGGAACCATACATACCTGGAAGGAAACGACATCGAAGTAAAGAAGTAGATGATATGTGTTCTCCTGGTATGTTACAGAAAATTGCTATGTTTGTTTTGCTATTCTTTTAATAATTTATATCAGAGACCTAAGTTATAATCCATATGTCTTCTTACATTCATAAAAAATATTTTGTACTAAATAAAACTGTAGTTACAATAATTATCCCTTTCCATGAAAACTAGATGTACTTGTGCTCTATTACAATCATGGTACTTAGTTTTACAATATATTTTCTGAAGTTTATTTCTAATTAGGTGATGGTAGCTACCTAATTAGAAACTTTAATGAAAGTTTCCAAGTGCCATTAATTGCTGTAGTTGTGTGAAAACCAGATAATTAGTCAGAGAAGAACAACGACTTGTGAACAAACACAATTTGGAGTTACAAATAGCTATTTGTAAGAATTCTTTACCCTGTTTCCTTTTAAAAGGTACAACACCTTTTTACTATTCCTTATCTCATTTAATACAATTCCTTCTAACTTATACGTGTCAATGCTTGTTTAGTAATTAAGTTTTAGATAATGAATATTATTATATCAACGAAGAAAATGTTTACAGTTCCCATCAAGAGAGCAGCAGAAAAGGATAGAACCGTTTCTACTCCAACCAGTACTCCAATATCAGAAACACGGTAGATGTTTACGATATATAAAATAAGACAATTATTGTTCTGCTAACATAAAAAGGGTAATCATTTTTAGAGGATCACAGTCTTCTACACCAGGAAGCGCCAGAAAAGTAATAATGGGTCTAGAACGTGGCTTAAATCGTGTGCGGTGCGTCCTTACGCCTAAGAGGCGCATGAAAAATGAGAATATTGATCCTGACCAACCTAACATACTTTCCGGCAAAGTTCGTACCTGATTACTCAACCTCTAAACATAGTGAATATTTTCAAATTAGATTCATTATACTGTTGTTGTTTTATTCCATTTGAAGGGTCTTTTCAATGTTTCATCAACATCCAGTGATGACCCGAGATATGTACTCTCACAATTACGTCGAGCACTTCGGCGGAAAGGAATCATGTGTCACCAAAAAGGGTAACACCCGATTGTATATTAAGAAAATAATTAAACAATAATAAATGTGTACATTGTTTGTATATTTAAAATATTTTTACAGGTTTATTCTTCAAGGTGAAACAGAGGACTGCGCAGAAGAAGACAAAGATACAACACGGCCATTTTCCTCCAGGAACGCTTGCTCATTCGAGTTGGAAGTTTGCTTACTAGAGGGTATCTCGAGCGATAAATTATTAGTTGGTATTCGAAGGAAAAGATTAAAAGGTGATGCATGGGTGTACAAACGTGTATGTGAAGAGGTTCTTGCTCTGGCAGCTGAAGATCTCTCTACAGAATCGGAAGGTTCGACAGAGTCGAAGTGTCCTATTTGAAATTTCATTACTGCTTTCGTACTAGCAGATATAAGCATTTATTCGAATTAACACATCACAAAAAGTCTATAAGATGATTTTTACTGTTCTTTGATCTCTATTGAATAGATTATACAAGCGATGCAGGCGTGAAAAATATTCTAGAACTTTTGAGTGCAAAGCCTCAAATATTAGAGTGGATATATGTTCTACGGCAGCTACGTAACCAACGATATATTGGGTACACGCGTACTTTGCCATTAGAATATTTCTTCTTAGAAGAAATAGTCACGGAAGAAATATCGCGTTAATATAAGTACTTCCATTGGTATTTCTCCGGGTTCTGAAAACTTGCGTAAACTCACAGTTCTGGTGAAGATTAGAACTGTCAATTGTGTAATATTATTTATACAGTATAGAAGAACTAGAAATAAAATATGTTACTTCCTATTGTCTGTATCTGATATAGTCTTATGGTAATATAAGATGAATATATTTTCTATTTTATCAGAGTGTATGATTATATTTACAAAGAGAGTAAAGTAATAAATATAAAAAACCATATTTTCACAAATAAAATTGACGTGCTTATTAGAAATCGAACCTACACCACGACGAAGTACTGAGAATGTTTTAAAGAGACACGTTCGTTAAAGTACAAAGGAATATTTTAAAAAGCACTGTGAAGCCCTTCCCTCCACCCTGAATATGTAAAGCTCCATTTTGCGTTTACAGCGCGGATGTAAAATATCGCGGCTTGTTTGAACCGCGGCACCTTCACGGGAACAACTATGGACAGGAGAAGTTATAAAATCACCACAAATCGATCAGCATAAAGTGGAGCCGCGTGCACTTTGTTTTATGGGAGCCAAACCTTTTATCTTTGGCCGCTCAATAATCGGCGGCCCTTGCTCGTAGGTATCCTTGAACAGTCTACTCCGGCTGGGTTCGATCGGAACGGTCTTTTTTCTGAACATTGATCGAGACAAAGCGAGATCCGCAGAAAACCGAGGCGTTCCGCTGAAAGACGTAAACCCGAGAATAAAGACATTAAGACGTCGATTCAGACATTTAGCGCCTGAAACAACCGCGCACGTTCATTCCAGTAGCGCCCTCGATGTTCTTACCGTCTCGTGATCCAGCTCTTGTGAATCCAAAACTTATAGACTCAAAGATATTTTCTATACGTTCGAGCTCGTGGGATTGTACAAAGAGGCCGTTACAATTTGAGTTATTGTAAAAAACCTTTCGTACGTTAACAAAATACTATTTTATTTTAAACATTCAGATAGGTATTTTATAAATGCAGAGAGATATTATTAGATCGGTACAGTAAAAAGTTTGAACAACAGTTACGGATATTCATGTTTATATTTAATAATTATTATTCGATACAGGTCATATTAGATTAAGTATTTATATATGAATTCTTTCTTTATAAATTATTTCATAGAAATATGTGGTTGCAGGTCATGTTTCGCGAAGACATCGAAACATGGTTCCCCGCTTCGTACAGAGATCTGGAATAAATTATTCTCTGCGCTACATTTCAAGTACACTTTTACGTAATTGAAAGTCTGGGAACTCGATACTGCACAAGAAAATATAATCGAAACATTGGCCAGTCATTAAGTAGGTCTGGCTAATCAATTTTTCAAAAACAAGAAGGAAGCCGGGATTTGCAGGCGGTAAGTACACACCAGCCTTTGCCGAGGCATCGCGAGGTGAATAATGTCGCGGCAGGATACGGTGTTTCATGAGTTAGCCGTCGATTAATTAAACAGGTTATTTCGCGAAATTAATCAAACAGAAAGAGCGGAGACAAAAAGTGCGGAGTATATAAATGAAGTAACCGGCGCGAGATGTAGACCTAAGTCGCCCGAGCATAAATTACAATTAACCGTAGCATGCGTGATCGTTGCGTGTGCAACACGCGCGTGCATGTTACGGTATTAAATTCATCCTACGTTTTATCGGTAGGAAGACGTTAGAAGAACGCCATGTTGCCCGCTCGCGAACGTTACCTGAGACTTCAACGGACAAGATTTTTTCCCAGTTACAATCGGGGACATTTACCAGCCCAATAATTAAACTGTCTAACGATTATTACGATCCGATTTGCATACGGCGCGGCGGGACCTCCCCCGGTAACGTGTAATTTCTGTGAAAGGGAATTTCAAAATGTTCGATTTACGATGTCCAGTTTACCATTGAAAAATTAAACCAGTTTCGGCGAACAGTTATCATTAGTTAGGGGTGCTTTAGGTGGACGACGACTGTAATTGCGATTGCTCGTTTGCCCTTTTGTTCAGTTCCGATTTTGAAATTGATTGCGGAGCTACGTATGTATGTACCCATGTGTAAAGATCGGTATTTTTACCGTAATGGAGCAGTTACGTTGAACTTTTAGATAGTTATAGTGCCACGGTATCGATTCTGTAACCTTTGAGATTTCGTAACTCAATTACGATTACGATTATACTTTTACATGAAATGAAATGTTATAGAATTAGGATGAATCGATATCCAGCGAAGTGTAATGACGATTCTCACGTGTAACATGAAACGCGCGAAGAACCCAAGATTCTTGAAACATTAAATTACCTATGTTTATTTTATAAAGAACGGAAGTTTGAAATTCATTAGAATGATGAAGGTCCTCGCGTGAATATCAGAATTACAAGAAACGTATACTTCCGGAATCGCGATATGGCCCCGCCTCGGAGGATTAAATTTGTCTCGACTACCGTTCTTATCACCTGCTCAAGCATTATGTATGATTACATATTAATCGTACAATTATAGACACTATACAACCTCGCTCGGTGTAAAGCGAACGCGTTACAAAGGGCAGCACGTAATCGTACGTGATACACGCGGAAAAGGTGGCCAGCAATTTCTTATCTGGGATTGCTTAAAATTCCATCGTTGCGCATGTACGCATAAAGAAGGCCAAAAAGAAGAATGTGCGTATACCCGTTGGCCGGGGTACATGTTATTCACCACGTGCCCTTCGTTCTCGCCAATGGATCGGGTGTCGTACACCGGCCCGTACACCAATTATCGTCTGGCTGCCGGTTAATTAAGGATTGGGGCAATGAGGCCCGGCGATGCAGTTTCCGTGATAATGATTATCTGCGACGGTAATTGAGCGAGCTGTTACGCTGACAAGCAAAGGGAGTATTGTATAAGAATAAAGAAGAGTGCGCTGCGATCTTTCGAATTTTCACAATCCCCCCTCTTCTGTGTCTTCATTCATCGTTGTTCGTTCACGTCGTGGCAATTATAATAAAGTCATTTTCTACCAATTATTTTCATTAAAATCCTGTTGACAGAACTTTCGATGTCACATGAAATCGACGTAACCAGTAATTTGATATTATCAAGGTAGATGAGAATTCCTTGTTTCTGCTTAAAAATCAACCGTGAACAACGGTATACCAGTAGAGATTTTCTTTAGTTTCTTTTCGAAAGAAAACAGCTGCTTTTGATTACTAAGGAATACTTATTCCTGTTCTGCAATATTCTTCACCATTTTGCCGAGGGATTCGCGTACCAGGTAATCGAGCGAAAATTGCATTAGCAATTGGTGCGCGAAACAGTTAAGAGCTACGAGTATTCAACTCGTCTTCTCCACTTGCCGATTTAATGAATTTAGTGAATTCCTTACGTCCACTCGTTCCTCAATTCACGCGGTAAATTAGAACATTATTTATACTGTAGTTTTTACGCGCGATCTGAATTTAGTAACACCGAATAGAATGCACTTGTTTCCTGAAATGTCATTATTATTTTTCCTGTTGTTTGACTATGTGAAATACACATATATCTCCGAAACTTATACCAGCTTTTCTTTTTAATATTTTGTTTTCTCTTGTACAGACTCTATTTGCGGGATTTTCAGTCGCGTAAAACAAATCCACGTCGAACGGATTTTCGCGTAAATCGAGGATCAGATGTAGTTCATTTTTGAGTTCGTTAGCGGGATTGATATCGTCTGTAGCACGTGACAACCGTTTCTTCTCTCGTCGCATACGTTGCTGGCAACGCCGGTGAATAATTCCACGAGCTGGCTTCAAGGCAGCAGGATAAGTCTTGGTACCTGCGATGCGAGTCTGCAGGTAAGACGCCTCGGCAGGGACGCGCGGATGTGTTGCGGACACGAACAGGTACCCGTACGTGCTCGCAGTAGACGAAGAAAAGGTAAGGGTGGCACGCGCGGCCCGCTTCTATCGCTTCCGGGCATCAGCGTGCTCGCGAACCGCGGCTAATTGCTCTTTAATGCAAGCGAGCGAGCGAGCGAGCGAGCGCGTTGCTTTTCTTAGACGCCGAGGAAAACTGGACGCCGAAAGAAACGGAATCGCCGGTTTTACTGCGATCGATAACGTTGCCCCTAAACCTGATTTCGGGCTTTCCAGGAATAGATCCAGGTTTTCAGCAATTGTCCGATAAGGCGAACTGAAAGAAACCTGGAAAGAAAATGATGAAATTATGGTAGAACGTTATGTACTATTAAAATAGAGAGTTCGAAATAATGTGATGACAATGTGAAATGATTATGTATGATTGCTAAACAAAGGGAACATGATATATTGGTGATGTTGCGAGAAGATTGGAGTTCAAAATGTCCTCTGCAGAGAGGAATAAAAAAATATTGCACGTTTATATTATGTGTAATGGTAAAAATCGCAATGAAATATATGCTTACAAAAGCTGTTGAAAAAGTAAATGAGCTTCGGTTCAATTTCAGTAATTAGCAATTAAAATATAAAAACATCGATTAGCATAAAGTCCACAGTCTACCAACCGATATCCCACGTCGACTAAAGCGTGAATATATCACTTATTCGAAGCGTGAGAACGAAAACTTCGATAAAGTCGGAAATTACTCTTACAAAGTTATTCAACTGGTTATGAGGGCGATCGAAAGGGGGTGGGATCTGTTTTAAATGTGAAATTCCGCCAGGCAGGTACCCCCAGGCATGCAAATTGCGTTGATTATTAAACGTTCAACGATTTCTAATCGTGTTAGGAATAATCGTCCGCGTTCTTTCTATCGTTTACGTGTTCGAGAATTCCTTCGGTGTCGCCGCGAGCAGAAATACGAGCGTTCGAAGTAATTCGAACTCAAGCATCGTTATGCAGCTTGCACATGGAAGGAAGGAAGAAAGGCGAGGAGTGCTAATCATCCGGTTTGCCCACCCTTTTTTCGGGGTCAACCCTGTTGTTTGTTCCCGTGGAACAGGGGGTAGACACGGCCGGCAAAAATAAAGGGCAGAAAGCTCGCATTCGCCGAGGCATGACCAGCGAGTCCACCAGAAGCTCATACATATGTAGACGGACTCAGGCCGGACACCGGGAACCGCAGGGAGGACCCTCCGGAAAAATGAATATGCAGCCCCATACAAGGTATTATTTTATAAAATTTACTATTGCGGCCAGGTATTATGTGCCTTTCCGTCGTCCATTCTCGTTAACGAGACCCCATGGCAGATGTGCCTTCGCGAAAAGCAACACTTTTAGAGTTATCCTCTAGTGTCCGGTGTCCGCCATTA